GGGGGAGGTTGTTGTGGAAGTGAAAGAAAAACGAAAGAAGGTACGATTTATAAGAGTGTAACGTTTCTTTCTTTTACTATCGTCTAGTCTCTTGTAAAACCCGCGTCTAACAACAAGTCGTTCGCTACTGGGACGTAGAATAACGTGTTACAGTCATCCAGCTATATAACGTGACCATTGCTGAGCCAAGGTTACTATGTACTACGTTCAGCGTGCATGCACACCTACTCGTCGCACGCTTTGATATCCACAAATGTTCTGCCCTAGTCCCTACCCGCTTCATTCACGTTGCCTAGCGCGCTCAACAACGATGGCTACGAGCTTTTCGTATTATTGGACCTTCTCCACCTACGGACAATTTATAGTCTTCGTATTTTATTTATCACGTTCTCTTCCTACTCCACCTCATTCTCCTAACTGTTGTATTAAATTCCTTATTTTCTCATTTGAAAAAAAAATCTTACCCGACAACTAAATCAACAAAGATTTTATTACGTATCTAACAAATGTTCGTGCGTCAAAAGAAATTATTATTATTATTATTATTGATGTAAAATATATTTCAATCGTTAAAATATATTATATAGTAATTATTAATATTTCCTAATATATCATTTTGTTTATTTAATAATAAAAATATATCCTTAGTAGTACAAAATATTGAATAATATTGAATACACGTGTATTTAATATTAAAAAGACATTTAATTTCTTTTTAAGATTAAATACACACGTATTCATTATTTTTTCAATATTTTTTTTTCTACTAGGGTATTTATAATAACGTGTAGTGGTATATTTAGCGTTTTAGACGAGGGATTTTAATTTTTTTGTCTTTGTTTTTTTTTTTTTTCATTTATTCACTAATTATCGTAACAAAATTTGTATGCTTATCTAGGAGATATTAGAAAGGAAGAAAAAATAAATAAAAGCACGAAATGATTTGTGAATCAGAGATATGTTCGTTAAAATGACGATTTAAACGATCGGACATTTTAACGCAATGCGCAGCAAAAGTATAAGTTTCGATCGATTTGTACGTCGAAAAGTGTGCGTGGAGAACTTGCTTATTCTCGAGAGAGGTTCAAAGCCATCGTTGAAAACTGGTACGACGGCGGGCTTCGTAAAATATCGACCGCTGTTTGGTTCTCTCTTTCTCTCTCTCTCTCTCTCTCTCGTTTCGTTTCTCACTCACACTAACTCTCTTTCTTTTGCTCTCTCTTCCTCTCTCCCACTTTTCTACCCCCACCACGTTACTCTTCAGTCGTTCCGTTCTCTCTCTCTCTCTCTCTCTCTCTCTCTTTCTATGTGCAAGCTCGACTCGTGCCATGTATCACATATAGAGAAAGAGAGATAGAGAGAGAAACGAACTGGAGCTTGTCACGTACGCGTCCACGTGGCTGCGCGTAAGCGAATACTCACACATACGTATAAAGAAATAGAGAGAAAGAAAGAGAGGAGAGAGAAACTCACACATTTGAAATCGCTAGTCGTGTGTGTGTTGTATGTGTGACACAAGCTTTCGCACGGTTCACGAATACACTGTGCTCTGGGTACATACATTGAGCGTTCTCGTTATCTCTCTCTCTCTCTCTCTCTCTTTCTTTCTCTATTCCATCTTCTCCCTTCTCCCCGAAACCCCCTCTCTGTAATAGCTTTACAGCTGTGGACGTTGAAGCTTTCGCTATCGCTGGAAACTTGCACTGTCGTTCAGCACTTTCGCTTATGAAACAGCCGCTTTTGCCGTTGCGCCAGAAAAAGAGAGAAAGAGATGTACGATGCGAAAAAGTTCCGAACGGAAATTGTAATTTCGTGTTCGATCCTACGAATGGGAAGAAGGGTGGGAAGGAAAGGCAAACTTTTCCTCGCTTTTTCTTGTTGTTTTTATTTTATTTTTTTTTTTTTTATTTTTTTTTTTTTATTTGAAAAGTTTCTTTTGAAAATGAATTAGGGCTTTGATTGGTATTTTATATTTTACGTTCACAATGATTAAGTGTAGTTTATTCATGATATGTAAGATTTGAAGTGTCTTTTGGGGAAAAAAGAAAATAATCAATCGGTCCGATCATTTTGTGATTTTTCTGTCGATGTGAAAACACCTTTAAAGGTCCAGCTCAGGTCATAGGCAACTGAACTTTCCTGACGTTCATAAATCGTCTAGACTGAATACCGTGAACTTTAGTCTTTAAAGGTCGCGAAACTCGGCTCTCCGATAGCGAGCGCATAAACTCTGGATAGTGCCGTTGTTCTCATTTAAAAAGGGTCATTTTGTATGCGCACACGGAAGATCCGTTGCACACGTGGCAACGAAAAAGAAGATGAAGAAAGGGAAAAAAAGTAGAAAAGAAAGTTTCGGAGGTCTGCTCGGCGTATGCGCTTTTTTAAAAATAGCGCCGAAGATTAATATTCCATCCGTCTAACCTAAAAAGTTCGGACTACTTCGTTTGGTTAAATTGGTCACGTGCCAAAAGTTTTGATACTTTACGATATATATTATTCGGGCACGCAAATTAAGCCAATTTTGATATGGAACGTTATAGATGATGACTTAAAAAAAAAAAAGATACATGTCCGCCATTTGGTAGAAAAGAATAAGAAAAGATGGCGAACGGAGTATACCTAAAATCTCAAAACTGGATCTATGAAAAAATTGTATCAAACTATTGTAAATTCATTAATCATTTTATGAGATAAAGAATTAAATGTAACAGAAAAAAAATCTGATTAGTCATTGTCGAAGAAAGCAAAGAAGAAAGAGAAAAAGAAAGTGATGTCTTCGTTTATTTTTCTGTAAAAAACGACCGGATGAAAAGTGAAAGGTAAGATAAAAAAAAAAAGAAAGAAAGAAATAAAGAAATAAAGAAAGAAAGATAGAAATTCGGAGTAATGGCTATACAAGAAAAAGTCGCTTGAAGGAACGCCCGTTGGCGGACGCAGCTGGTCCCACCGTTGCACTTTCGTCGAATCGACCGTACTTTACGCACAAAAATTCAATACCGCTTCGCGCGTTGCGAAGCGGCCCATAGTGTACGCTCCGTCTCGCTGTGTATACCCGGTGCGACGAAACGATACGACGAACGGAGAAGTGAGAAACTTCGTTGTCTTCGTCTTCGTCTTCGTCGTCGACGTCGACGTCGTCGTCGTCGTCGTCGTCGTCGTCGAGACGGAACGAATTCTTTCATTCGCACGGCCCTCTCGCCGAAGCGCAGGACGCAAATTCCAAGAAGC